TCTTCAATATTACTTTATAAAAATTCATGGAAATGCAGAATTGTGGCTGTAGCTATGTTCCTACTTCTTTGGCTTGGTCACAATACTGGCTCATTTTATCCTGCCCCCCTCATTCAGTATGTCTACACAATATCACTCATTCTTCCCCAGGCTCTCTGACACTGGCTGGGACTATCCTTTATTCTCTATAATTTTAGTACTACTAGCTCAATCTGTGCTTCCCCAATCTCTGTGTACTGTCTGTTGAACACTATTGTCTCCATCTGGAGTTCTAGGGAAGACCATAAATTATGGTTCTTTTTCAACAGCTATGCACAACTACTAGATCACAAGTGTCTTTCCGTATTATGTAATGCAAGTTGCTGTGTTAAAAAATTAGAATTCCATGCTGAGGTGCAGCGTCTTACATTTGTGTTAATAAAAAGCATGGATTATATTCATTCATTTTTAGAGGAGCGTCAAGGAACTTCTTTCTTGCTTACCTCAGGCACCATGTCATGGGTCATCATAGAGGGCTAATCTTGACAACCTCCAAGTGCTGGTCAGAGAATAAGATAAGGCCTTAGGGGCAGAGAGGTTCTGCTAACCCAGGGAGCTTGGGACTGGAATTCAGAACCTCTATGTGGTTTGACATCACCAGAACTCTCCAAAAGGAAAATGACCCTGTAATTCAGAGCTACTAAATATTTAAGGGTCTGTTCTGCATTATAGTACGAAATATCTTTGGGAATACTATATGTATCTTAATGGTGAATCCTTTTATTTGCTCCAGTCAGCACAGCACTGTGCCAAAGCTCTCAGAGACCTTGGTAACTTTATAGGAGTCAAATTTGTGTACAGGTGATCTGCTGTTGAACAACTTCTGGTTTGCAACGTGCATTAAAAAACAGGTAAATCCTCAAGGGAAACTTTGAAAAACAGTGGGCTTGATTCCCCAGCACCATGCCAAGTTTCTCAGGTGAAATTCATCCCAGTGCAGAGGGCCGATGCATTCCATAAGGGTTATATTAAGGGTCAACGTGAGCATGAAGTTCCAATTCATCAAGGTCAGTGACTCTCAACAAGTGTTATTGCATAACACTCTGGTGGGTAAGGGCTGTGAACTGGAGTGCATTTCACCCTTACAGAATAAAAGACTGCATTTTTGTGCAAACAAGAAGAAACTGGAAAAGAGAAACACTCAAAATGCAGACTGTCCAAGCAGAATTGTTTCTAAATATTTCTCAAAGTTTCTATGAGGCATCACAAAGTCTTTAAAAACAAACTGCACCCCCTGATTAATGCGGAAGCTTCCGTATATTCTTTTTGCACAATCTTCTTTCATGACTTCTTTGAGGTAAAAAGTCTTCTTCAGGGTAACTTTGCCAGATAACAATTATTAGGGGCCAAGGCTGATTTCAGGTACACTAGTGAAAAATCTGGAGTAATCCCACTGATTTCAGTGACAATCATTGTAACTGACAGCAGAATTAGATTTACTGCGCTTACTCTCTTTTCAAAAAGCAGTTTAGTCAGGGTTTTGAAGGATGCTGGGATCTGAGATTCAATATCTTCCATATGGTATTTGAAAATCCCCATTTTGCCTTTGTTTCATTACCTAAGAAAGTTTGTTGGCCAAATGTGTGGGGAATGATGACACAAAAGATCTTCATGCATCAGAAACATCAACATGCATAGTCAAACTGCTGAGAAAGTGTTGCCACTCATCTGAAGTATCAAGATTGGTCACTTTCAAGAAAAGTAAAATTGAAACAAAAGACACAAATACAGGATAGCCTTTGTCAAAGACGTCTGTGCCAAATTTGCAAACCAGCTTCTAAAAATGAACCCTCAATTTTGCATGCTCTTTACTGGCACCTGCAAATTTAGTAGCTAGATGTCTAGTTACCTGGTTTGTGTGTACAAATCAGCTATTTTACACACATGGAGAGCATTGCAACTGGTTAAGAGTGTGTAGCACTGTTGGTGGCTAAGCTGAGGCTACTTAGAAAATTTGTCCTTTTAGAAATTAAATGAATAAGTATAGAATAGCATGCTGGTAGCAGTTGCTTAGCAACACATTGTTTCTTGGCTTTCCTGGTGGCTGCATCGGTCCTTTGAGACTGTCATCAAAGACCACATAGTCCCTGAGGCTGTGAGATGAGTCCATCTTGTAAATGTCACCTTTAAAAATAATGCAAGAGTCTGGAATTTTATTTTTTGCACAATATCAAATAGGCAAACCTTCCCCATGAAGTTAGCTTACTGCTAATAGGGCCAAATCTTCTTCCATGTCTGCAGAAGACTCAGAATCTGGTAGAATTCTAGGGTACCCCCAGCAATGAGAAGCTTGGAAGTGTAGAGCCCATTAATAATTAGCTGTGAAATAGTGCTCAAAGTACTTTACAAAGGTCGGTATTTTAATCCCCATTTTAGAAATGGGGAAACCGAGGCACTCTGGTGAAGTGATTTGCCCAAGGTCTCTCTCTCTCTCTCTCTCTCTCTCTCTCCCTCTCACACACACACACACACACACACACACACACACACACACACACACACACACACACACACACACACACCAGGTGAGTGGTAGACCTAGGACTAGAACTAGAACCCAGGTCTCCTGAGTCCTAGGCCAATGCTCTAATTTATTAGGCCACACTGTCACCAAGGACCACTAGATGGCCTGGAGCCACGTTCCAGAGACACTATCTCAAAGGGAGTGTGGAAATGGCTCTCAGTGCATAGCAGAAGCTATTGGACTCAGTGGGTACCAACCTCTTCCCTGTGGGTATAACCTCAGCACACCCTTGGATCCAGACTGTGCACCGCAGACATGCCACACATATACATATGCCACACACACATACACTCTGGGGGCATTAGGACCTAGGCAGTAGCTCTCTTCCTCATTCTCCCCACCCCCGCCCTTATATGGCCTTGGGGGAAAACTGCAGAGACCTGCCAGCCAGAGACTCCAGTTGATAGGAGCAGAAGGAGCCAAAGCAGGGACCTCTTGACATTCCTGTCAAAATTGACTTTCTCTGCCCCCTGTCAGTTGGCATGGAGCCCCTTCAACTCACGTCCTGGGAGTCTGCCAAAAATATCCCACAATCCCAAGGGCTGGCTTCCAGAATCTCCAATCAACTAGAGTGAAAAAGGAAGCAACCTCCTTTGGTGTACTGCAGCAGCTCAGTGAATCAGCGTTAACTCTTTCGTTGTCTTCTGACCACTGAGCTGCAAACACACCGTCAGAGAGCCTTCTGTCTTTGCAATGGAGACTGATCAGAACAAGCCCTTTTCAAAGCGTGCTGCTTCATGGTCACTGGAGCACAGCCAGATTTTGGTAAATCTCAGGTGTGAGGCCAGCAAACCAGTGGACTTTAGTAAGCGTACCAGGAATGATCACTCATACCAACAAATAATAATTGGCACTGCTGCAAATTTACCGGACCAGTGACCAGTGCAGGGAGCAGCTTAAGAGTCAAGAATGACCAGAACACCACCTCCGGCAACTTGCCAACATCCTGCCTGTTTTATGAGGAGTTTGACCGAGTGCTGGGCGCTGCGCTAAGCATGGAACCAATGGTGCTGCATGATAACCTGATCCTCTGGAATGGTGCCCTGCTGGCCCCAGGATCCAGCACAGGGTGTGATGGGAGCCAGCAGCAGGCACCAAGTGAGGCCAGAAAAATGACTGTTACCGAAACTGGTCTCAAAGGAGGCTTTGGAGCAGGAGCAGCAGAGCACATCCTGGGGCTGTACTTGGAGGAGCTGTTTGATGCTCCCCTGAGGAACAGCCCGCTGTGGAGCCTGCAGCAAACACAGACAGGACAGAAGCCACCTGGAGACTAGTAAGTTTCTGGCTCCATTATAATGTTTATCAATACAATAATGGAAGGGATTTCCATTCTACGAACCAACACAAAAGTAGTTATAAGCCCCAGCTAGCAGTGTGCGTCCACTACTGGCAGATTGTATGCCACCGGCATGGCTCCCTGCCCCCGACCATGTGGCGTTCAAAATGGAGACCAGGAAATGCAGGCAGTAAAAATGCCCTGAAAGTGAATTTTTACTGGAAGGGCACAGATTTTTGTTAGGGCATTCCTGTTTCTTAAAAAATAATCTTACATTGCCTGTAAGTACGCTGCTCTGTAACCACTCAGCAGTGTAACGAGCCTCCTGGAAACTGTGAACTGCACTGTGGGGTGGGAGATGGAAATGTGTTCCATGCACAAATCTAGCCCCTTTCAGGTACATGTAATCTATGTAGTCCATAGGTGACAGAAGTATTTGTCCTAAATTCGACTGGAGTTTGAAAATGTATCCAGAAATGTGCTGGGGCGGGTAGTTGTGTAAGGAGATGGCTGTGGAGTTGTGTGTGTCTGCATGCAGTCACAACTGGCTAAGCCGTGTGGAAGCTAATGCTGCATCCTGTTGATTCTCTCATGATTTCCGACTCAATCCCGGGTACTGATAGATGCAAACTTTTCCTGAAGCAGAAACACATTTTGGGGAAGGGTGTATTTTCCAAGGCCACCTTGGTAGCTGACCAGGCAGTGCACTCATAGATGGGCTATTCAGTCACTATACATTTGAATACTTTGGCTGCATATTCTGCAGGTTTCCCACCAGCAGCTTGGAATAACATCTCCTTTTGCCAATCGGGCACCACAAAGAACTGTTATGTCTTCCAAGATGTGGAAGCCCTGGAATGATAGAAAAAGCTTTTGTAGCAAGGCCACTGCCAGTTGTCCCTCCCAACCCAAGAAGATCTGCAATTTTTAGAAATCAAGAAACAGCTTTGAATATTTAACATACCATTGTCTCTGTGCTTCTTTCATTGTGATTAACCAGGCTGTGTCCAGGGAGTTTCTGTGGACTAAAACATCCCTCTCACAATATATTGAAATTCAGTTTGGAAAAGTAACATTTTATATCCTTAAAATTCCATAAGGATTTTTTCTGTGTTTCTGCACTGAGCTGTTTGAGACAATAACTCTTTGTGTCTTGTCCAGTTCCAGGGCCCGTGATCTCTACTGGCTGCAGTACCTCCACAGCTCACCCACACTGCAGTACAAGTCTGGACAATGTAGCTTCACTGACCGTTCCAAGAGGAAGCATTTCTGTGATGAACTTATGGTTGAAGTTCTTGACAGGACCAACAAACAGGTCCAGTACCAAAACCAGAAGGACTTACAGCTAGAGAAAAGGCATGGTGAGAGACAAGAGGACAGGCTGAGGCTGGCTGCATAGCTTCAGGACAGGGCTTCAGCATGGGAGCAGGCACTTCCTTTGCAGTTCCTGAAACAGGAACGGTGGCTAAAGGAGGAGGACAGAGCTCAGCAGAGAGAACTGTTTGAGTGGCTGATATCACTAATGGCTGCGAGAGTAATAGCTCCTGCCACACCCACATCCCAGCCTGAGTGCCCGGCACGGTACCATCAGATGCAGTCCAGAAACAGCTTGGCTGGGTGGACCATGCAGTCGGGCTCCAGGAGTGGCTGGGCAGGGCAACTTAGCCCCATGTAGTCCTCCGTCTTTGACTCTTTCCCTTGTGGATGCCTCCACCTCCCTTCTTCAGTACTAAGAGATCGGGAAACAGGGAAAGAAGGGAAAGGAGAATCAGGGCCATGACACATGCAACAATAGGGGGTTTCTGTCTTGTACATGGTTTCACTGTTTGCACTTGTTCGTGCACTTTTTTTGGGGGAAGATTCTGTTGTTACCAGGAGTGGTGGAAGCACCCTAAAAATGGGGGGGGCCACAGGAGCCCGAACCGCTCCGCACCCTTTGAGCTGCCTCTTCCCCCCCGAGGCTCCACCCTCACGCTGCCCCTTCCCCCCGAACTTCTGCTCCCATGCCGCCCCTTCTCCTTGAGCCCCCACTCCCGCGCCGCCCCTTCATCCCTAGACTCCACCTCCTGCTCACTACTCTCCGTCCCCTCCCCCCATCACTCACCCTTACGTCTGGTAAAAAGTGGGGAGGCCAGGGGGCCATGCCCCCCCCCGTTTCAGCTTCCCTGGTTGTTACTAGTATTTTGGTGTGGCAGGCAGGCCAGCTGCCATTAAAATGGTTCAATGTTGTACTTTTCTAATACATGTTATAAACAAAGCTTTTTATGTCACCAAGGAAGTTTGTTGCTATCACTACAGCACATCATACAATGTGTATTTGAAATAATAAAGGTAAACGCATGATAAGGGACAATTAGGAATTAGTAAGCTAACACTATTCCTCGATATGGTTAGGTACATCAATCCACTTCAATCATTTCCTTATATGAATCCATACTGTGAATCATCCCCCATCCCCATTTCATAAGTGGCCATGTCATCCATAAGTACACTGCATGACAATCAAGCCCCCATCCCTCCCCAAGCACTGAATCCCCCCCACAGTCAATGAGCTCCATTCCCTCCCCCCAGAAGCACATTCATAAAGGTACTATTACTCCTCTTCCCTTGAGCCATGCAAGTCCATAATGCGGGTGCACAAAGCATCCCTGACTTCTGTTGCCCGGATACATCCAGCTCCAGCTGTGGTAGGTGGACTTTCTGGCTGAGTGTACCAATTCAGCAGCCCCTCGCTGTCATAGGTCCATTCAGAGGGAAATGGCGCACCTCTGGCGTCACAAAGATTGGGAAGAGCACAGCAAGCCATGGTAGTGCAGACAGCATTGATGACATTGGCATCCAAATGCGTCTGTAGACGTCTCCAATGGGATTTCAATCTGCCAAAAACACATTCAACAACCATTCTACACTTGCTGAGAGTGTAATTGAACTGTCTTTTACCAGGGCCTCTGAAATCAGGGTATGGTTTCATAAGACAAGGCAAAAGGGATTATATGGGGCCTCCCAGAATAACAGTGGGCACAGTGACACCATTATGACAATGTCATTTCGTCAGGCTAGTGTCCCAGCTTGTCCATGAATGTAGAGCCCTGATTGGCAAAAAACCCTGGCATCATGAACTTTCCCAGTGGAGCCCACAATGACACTCATAAATCAGCCTCTGTGGTCCATGAGTGCCTGGATAACTATGGAGTAATACCCACTGTGGTTTATGCACTCCTTTGATACATGATGAGGGCAAACTATGGGCACACGAGTCCCATCAATGGCCCTGGCACAGTCTGGAACCCCATTTTCTCAAATCCAGCAATTACCTCAGGAATATCTTTTATGCCCGCCACCTTGGGTAAACCACATACCTGCTTGCCTCAGAAACCTCCACCACCACTTTACCTACAGTTGACTTCCAACACCAAACTGGCTGTCAATAGATCTAGAGTAGTCTAGGCTAGCCAGCTTCAAGGTTTAATACTGCAGCTGTCATCCCCAGGAGTCACCCATTGGTCTCATGGGGCCCTAGTAGGCCGTCTTTCCAACCCTTCCACAAATGGAATCTCATCTTGGATAGAAGATCCCATCCGTTTTCTGGTTCAGAAGAAAGACCTTGTGTCAGTTCAAGCACATCTTTTTATACCAAAAGCAGTGACTGTCTCCTTGTCTCTGGAAAACTCAGCGTGAACCAGGATATGAAAATCACTCCAGGAGGTGGTACCTCTTTGTTTAGTCTCAGTGATTCACCTTCATCACCTCCCACTGTTTTTAGTTCCTCTAGGAGCTATGGTAAGCATCCCCCATGGAGTAGAACACAATCATACATAAACCATTCATAGATTTAATAGAATATGGTCACCAAAGGTAATGCATGTAATTACAATATTGGTCACATCTCCCTCCATACAGAAGTGAATGTCACTAGGGTGCTTGATCATCATCCTAGGAGAACCTACAGGTTCATTCCCTGGCTGGCATGACAGTCAATACCTTTTATACTTTCAAATTACAATTTCTTCCCCATAGCCCAAATCCTTTCTCCATCCCACCTGTCTGGAGGTCAGGGACTGGGAATCCCTGTGGCATGACCTCAGCTTGGGATGGGGGAGGAGGAAGATTACTGAACCCTCCCTACACCCACCCATCCACTCTCTCGGAGGGTTGGCCTTTTGTTCCTCACACACTGCATCAAAGTCATGGCAAGCAGCATTTCCTTCCCCACCAGTCTCAGACTCTATTACATTTTCACAGATCATCAAGCAGTCAAACTGGGGGAAGAAATTCCCTTTCCTTCTTGGCTGTCTAAACAATTGGTTACTTTGTTACCTGCAGGGAGGATCCTACCCCCACTTCTTTCTGTCAGCGACCTCATTTGCATTCTGGCTCACGCCTCCCTCTACATGTTGGGAGTCAGCTGAGGGAGTTTGATTCACCCTCTCTGCCTTTCCTGGATAAAAGCCTGAATTTGGTTTTAAAGCCCTTGTATCATTTCCAACATTCCTCTCATCTTCCCATAGTCAGAGTTCCAGGACCTTCTTTGGTGTCCCACATTAACTGTGGCCTTAAGCAGAGCACTGGGGTTCATCTGCCGGCTTCTGGATATGTACATCCTTATGTCCTTCCTCCTGGGTTCCATGGGTGTGACTTGACCCTCTTCTCCTGATTGGGCCAGTAGCGTTTGTCCTGGTCAGCAAACTCCTGTTGCTCAGGTCAGTCTCTAGCTCCCCCCATCTCTCCTGCATCTTTTCCACTCCAGCCTCCATGTCTCTGGACCTCGCTGCTAACTCTGCTGGACTGTCTATGGCACCATCTCCTTGGTCCCCTGCATGCCATAAGGAGGAAAAGGGAGCTCTTCTAGCCCCTGTCTGAAGGAGGTACCCCATCCTGCTGTAGAATGGCACCATAGAGCACCACATGGTAATAAGCCTTGCTCAAAGCAAGTCTAATCCAAATGTTGATCTGTGCGCTATGGGGAGCATTGGTGAGTGGACGTAAGGTGTGTTAGAGATGTTCGAGTTGGATCATGCCAAATTTCTATAGTGTAGATGAGAACACATATTGAACACTGCTGCTGCAAAAACTTGGAATTGAGATTCAGTGAAGGATTTCAGCATATCCTATTAGCACTTCATTGTATTAAGATAACTTAATAAGGTGCTGTTCAATACAACAAAGGAAGCATAAACTCTATTACAAAGTAGAACTGGGTTCCTAGCAATTTGATTAATAAGTGTTAACCTGAACGCTAGTCTGGTAGTAATTTTCCTTCCTATTCATTTCTTTACACTTAGGTTAAGGTGCTCCGTGTGTGTGTGTGTGTGTGTGTGTGTGTGTAAAAGTTGATTAAGCATTTCTATTCATTCTGCTCTTGACTGATTAATTTAAAAATATGCAGTTAAATGTTTACATAATGGATAATTAAGTTTATTTATGAAAACACACACAGTTAATATTGTCAATTACTTCACAGAATGATAGTCATAGCTAATGTGCAGCGAAAGATCTCTTGGACCATTTAATCCAACCAGCTGCATTGGGCAGTATATTAATCCACCTTAAAAGGTATCTAGCTTTATAATTAGCATCGCTAGAAATGGTACTATAATTACCATTGCCAGCTTTCTTGCAATGTCTGGTTGCTCTTACAATGAAAGCTGATTTCACTGTAAATATTTAAAGAGCTAGATTCATCCCTGACTTCAAATTCATTGACTTCCACCATGTGAGAATTTAGCTTAGTGAGTCAAACATTCTCAGTTACATCCCTTCAAGCCTATTTACTTCAGTGAGTCGTACAGGTTGGCAGAATATGGCCCACTGATATAAGTTCTCTCTTCAAAAGGCTATTTATTACTGTTCTTGCCAAATTCAGCATCATCGTTTAAATGGCTTTTAAAGGAAAATCCCTCCCTTCCCCCAGCAAGCTACCGTCATTTTGCATTGTTAACAAAATTTTGAGGCCATTACTTCTAATGGAGAGGGTTAATGGCTGCAGTGCAATGAGCTGAAGTGGGAGGCAGGTACAAATAAAAACGGATCACAGAAAGTGTGGAGAGGAGATTACTAGAGAAGAGCTGTTGGGTCATAGTTTCAAAGGGCATTTTGCAAAATAATGCTTTAATTAAGTTATGCAATATTCACAGCAGTACAAACCGGCTACTCAAGACCATTTTTTAAGAAGGACTTCCTCAAGCTAAGCAATACCACATTGGGCCCGTAAACTGTACTTGTATAAATTGTAGTCTTTGCTGCATCAGACCCATACCATAGGGTTCACTGGATTTAAAATGTATTTTATTGTGAGGTAATGTGATGATTTTTAATGTTTATTGTTTGTTGCACTCACTTTCTGTGTCTTGTCTTGCTTTGAAATTTCAAAAATCTAGACCAGCTCTAGGGATCAGTTGGCAGAGAGTCTTAGCTTTTCTGCATTTGATAAACAATGTCCTAATTGTATTTAAAAGTATGAGTTGCACAAATTCACTTGACATTCTATATTACTTACTTTCCAAGTAAAGAATTTCCCACTTTTTGAATAAACTGCTGTAGCAAGCAACACTTCAAAAGATGCAAGAGGCTGAAAAAATGATTAGACTAATGTAGTTATGCATCCGAAGAAGTGGGCTGTAGTCCACGAAAGCTTATGCTCTAATAAATTTGTTAGTCTCTAAGGTGCTACAAGTACTCCTGTTCTTTTTGTAGTTTTGATAAGCTCTCAAATATCCTGTAGGGTTTTAAGCCCTTGGACATATGCAATGAATTGTGTCTGAGGCACATTAGACAACTTGTCTTTCTACATTTGTATCTGTGAAGGTCATGGAAAAGGCAGCCTCTTATGTACAATGTTGTTTGCTCTATGAGACATGGTCAGCCATCTTGACTTCCCATGAAGAATGAAGGAATTGTTGACATATTTTTATAAATATCATATGCACCTCAGGTTACCAGTGTGATATTACCCTACCTGACTGCATGGACTTAGATCAAAGGAAGCTATTAAGGGAACTGTAACAATGGCAAAGCTATTAACTGGGGAATGGCCTGCCTGACTCCAGCCAGACAGGCAAGATTTACTTTTCTCAGACCTGAGCCTATGATCAAAGAGAATACTAAAAGCTTAAGGATGCCAGCCCAGAGAAGAAAGGGAGTTGAGTGGGTTGCCAGAAATGGTTGGAGAGAAGGCTCTGGCAGAAAGAGACACAGAAACTGCAGCAAGCTTGCTGTCTCTCCCAAAGCAGAGATGGAGGTAACTGGGCTGAATGGAACTTTGCAAAGCATGCAAGGAAAGATTAAGTTTTGGGTAAGGGGAAATATGCACATAGGCCTTTATTGTTTTGATTCTTTGATCTGTGTGCAATGTACCTTTGGGTGAATCAATAACACTTTAGTTTGAAGAAGCTGTTTTTGAGTCACTTTTATCAGCTGCTGTCATGGATTCCTTCAAGAAGAGGACTTACAGGTGTCAAACACAGTTGGACTTATTGGGTTAATAAGGTAAGGGTGGTGCAGCCCAGAGATCTGGCCTGTGTGGTTCTTCCCAGAGAGGGGTGAAGGTAGTGAAACCTGTCATGAAAGGGACTAAGTAGGGTCTAAAGCTCAGTTTGCCCGGTAACTGTGACGCCTCCTGTTACATGCTACTCTCTCTGTGGCCTAAAAGTCTTGCAGCTCTTTTAAACAGAATTATATTGTTATTTTGAGCCTAGTCCAACGCCCACAAAAGTCCCTGGAAAATCCAGTTTTCCCCAAATATGTCTGTGGGAAGATGGTTTCTGAGGTTTTGGTTTGATCCATTGTAGTGAAAGAGGTCAATTTAAAAGCCTGGATCAGGATGTGGGTCTAACTGGCTGCAAGTTTAGTGGTGAGGTGTGCAGGTTGGGATTCAGGGGTTTGTTTCAGGCCTATCTCTAATGTTAATATCTGTGTGGTGTGTTGAAGATGCAAAATGAAATACAAATGCTAAGTTTATTACAATTATTCTTTGCAGTTTACTACAAACAATGTAGACTACAATCTGTAGTACTGTAAGTGGACACAAAATAGTGGTTGCTGTCTATGCACGTCGCTGTTATTCTGTATTGAATGATTAAATGGATTTTGCCTGTGGTACATGACGCAAGCCAGTTCTGTGAAACTCTGGCAGAGGATACACTATCAAAGCATGAGAGGGCTAAGATAAGAGTAGCTCTGCCACAAAGTCTACTTGCTTTTATGTATTTGCCTCCAAGTTCCCAGTCCTCGAACTCATCACCTGTGTATGTGAGGATACTATAATTCAATGATAAATAATAATAATAGTAATCACTGAATTCTCATGCTACTTTGATACTGTCATGTCATTTCCATCTCTCCATTATCAGGAGATAAAAATCAATGTTAAAATATGTCAACAGTAACATTAATTCTACTTAATTCAACCATTGTTTAATTTGATCTTCTGCAATCCAAAGAAAGCCACATATGTCTACTTCATCTTTAAATGTAAGAAACCTGTCTGCAGCGGTGACCCGTGGGGGGGGGTGTCATGCAGGGGTCATGCCCCCCCCCCCCAAAGTTGCTGCTTGGCTTGTACTGAGCAAACTCACACAGACTGAGCAGGCTCAGTAACATCTGCTGAAGTCACTGCCCTCATTCTGCCCCTCCCCTCACGTCTGTTTACTAGAGGGCAGGCCTGGGAGGGGAATCAAGATGGATGGCCTAAGAGAGTGAGAGGCACTCTATTATCTTTCCTGTGGATATTTTATATTTGTTACTTCTTTGCTGTTTTCCTTAATCTAAAATAAAAGCCATTTACTCTGCAATTACATTTTTCTCTTTGTGAATCAAAAACCATAATGCTCAGGCCCCGCGGCCAGATTTTCAAGTCTTCAGCACCTACAATTGCAGCTCATCTCTCACTTAGGGCCAGAGTTTCAAGACTTGCTTAAACCCAGGGCCGGCTCTAGGCATCAGCAAACCAAGCACATGCTTGGGGTGGCACATTTTCAAGGGCGGCATTCTGGCCATTTTTTTTTATTTTTTTTGCTTCCGGCGGCAAAAGCGTAGAGCTGGCCCTGGCAGCAGCAGCGCGTCGTGTGCGGGGGAGCGCCCTGGGGCCACTGCGGTTCGCACCGTGGGGGGAATAGCACTGCACCTTGTGGATGGGCCGGGCAGGCTCCAAACGGGGGACACTCGGGCTGGGGGTTGCCCCGCGGGGCACACGGAGCCACCTGCAGGTGCTGCAGGGCGGCTGCCCCCCAGCGGCGCAGCCGGGGCTGGGCGAAGTGGCCCAAGCTGCCCAGGGGCTGTGGCAGGGCGGCCAGAAGCAGCAGCAGCAGTGGGGCCATAGAGGGCAGAGTGCTGCCGTGCGGGGCCCATGTCCCGCTCTCTGGGGCTCCGCTCCCTCTGGGGCTACCCTGCCCGGGCTCCTCAGCCCCCTGCCGGGGCAGTTCCCTGGCTCTACCCTCCTGGGTCCCGGCTGGTCCTGAAGGCGGGAGCCCTGGCTGGAGGGACCCTGGGCTGAGGCGCTTCCCGGGAGCCCCGCTGCTTACTCTGAGCCTGCCAGCGCCGGACCGGCTGGAGGCGAGGGGGGAGCAGGTGGAGTCAGCACTGGTGGTGGGGAGCCCAGGGCTGGGGTGGCAGGGGGTGTGGGTGGGGGAGGAAGAGAGAGCCCAGGGCTGGGGCAGCAGGGGGTGCGGGGGGGGGGGGAGAAGAGAGAGCCCATCGCTGGGGCAGCAGGAGGTGCAGGTGGGGGGAGAAGAGAGAACCCAGGGCTGGGGCGGCAGGGGGTGGGGGGCAGACAAAATTTTTTTTGCTTTGGGTGGCAAAAAACCTAGAGCCGGTCATGCTTAAACCCCACAGCTCCCACTGTGATATCTGTGGTCAGATTTTCAAAAGAGCTGAGCTCTCAACATAATGAGCCTCTTTGACAATTTGACTTTTTATTTTGATGCCTAAATAGAGGCTGAACTCTTTTGAAAATATGGCACAAACCATTCAACTTCTAGCCCCAGCAACTTTCACCTTTTATTCTGATCATTTTAAGCAGGCATTGGTGGATGAATCAAGCACTGGTGGGAGAAAGTTGCCATTAAAACGAATAAGGAAGAAACTAAACTCTGAAATAGAATTTAAAAAAGAATCCAAGGAAAGCCTATGATAATCAAAGAGGATAACACTTCAATATCATTCAGAGACTGTTAATGTAATTAGATTATTAGCACTATTATATGCTGTACAAACTGCAAAATGCCCCACTGGTGCTGTCATGGATAACGACATTAACTGCTTATGTCATTCAAAAACACCAACACAATCTTAAGAATGGCACATCATAAGAAAAGAATGTTTAAAATCAAGAGAATGCTAGAAAACCTGCCACTATCACTGCAGTAATAGCAGCTCAATAATGTACTTAGAAACATAATGATATTCTTAGAGACAGGGAATCTCCTGATGCAAATAAGGATATGGAAATGTTGTTGCTATGCAGAAAAGCCAGAGAACTGGATATTATAGTACCTACAGCCAAGGAGACTGACCTTGAATTAAAATTATGAGCAAAGAAGTTTCCACTAGAGGACAGTTTAAATTAGATTCTAATCAAGCTCATATTGATCCCTGGAGAAGAATAAAATTAATAATAGAAAACAAAAATATTCTTTAGTTTATACAAGTGGCATTGCTATGTCTTCCTCACAAGGGCTTTGATTCAGGAACAGACTCAAACATGTGCTTAAGTCTATCTTATTCAGGTCTTGACATCAGTGGGACTTTAAGCACTTGCTTAAAGCTAAGCACTTGCTTAAGTGCTGTCCTGGATCAGGATGCTTTCCTATGATGGGACCAAACTGACTGAATCTGTCTATTCTATCTGTCCATCATTCATGCGCACAGTCTAATATCCTGAGCTACTTCTTACTTTCAAATATTACTACAGTGGGCTTCAAAACTACTATTTTGATCCAGACAAACTATAAAATGTTTTACCTAATTCAGGGCTGGAGTAACTACAGTTACACAAAGCAAGGGAGAAAACCCCCCAACCCACTTAGAATAAGGAAGACGGGGAAATAATGTTAGGAAAAAAATGTATACCAGACAATATGTATGAGGTCAAGCTTTGGTCAGCCATTGTAAACACCAGCTCTAGTCCTAGATGACATACAAGGAAGTTTAAATACAATGTTCCTTCTACTTTGTTTTCTATGAGTGGCACAAACAACTACCCAAGCTCATGTTTGAAATCACTGAGTGACTTCTACTCTCATTCCCTCTTCTTCTTACTCTGCCCCACCCCCACTCCATCTATTCCTTCAGTCACTCGTGCCCTCGCTTTGTGTGTGTGCTAATTTCTCTTTTACTTATACACACATACACATGCCAATTGCAAGCAGGGTTGTCCCTAGAGGGGTGCAGGGCCCGGGTGGATGTGAATGCGCTGGCCAATCATGCTGGCCTGGGGGACCTCCCCAGAGCGCAGGGCCCAGAGCAGTCGGCCCGATTCGCCATACCCTAGGGAAGACTCTGATTGTAAGCATTCAAAAATCACGAGTTAGACCTCCAAAAATCATGAGATTAAAAAGAACTCAAATTATAATTTTTTAATTTACTTCTGTCTTTTGAGTTTTTAGAGTGCACTCTAGTCACACTTTCCAGCTTTTCTCTGCAACCATGTGGGCTAGCAATTCACTTAAAATAAAAAATAAACAGATTCTCACATTTTCACATGACTCCAGGAACTAATGTAAGAATCTGAGGGTGCAGGTCTAGAACACAGGGCTGTGGGGATTTCTGACACTCTCTCATCACCAAAAAACACTATCTTGCTGACTGCCTGTGCAGGAGCATCCAGCAAAACACCATCTTTCTAAACCTGAGAGGTCAGGCCCCACAGGAAGTACTATCAGAGTGCTAAAGGCTTGTGGGTGCCTGATTGGCTCACACCTGCTACTTAAGCCAGGAAGTGAGTTGGGTGGGCTGTCTGAGCAACTGTGCAAACTTCCTGCTGCCGCTGCCACATTGGATGCTGTTCTTGCCTGCCTCCTCCAATTCTTATCCAACCCGATACCTAGTCCACTCCTGACCTGATCCTCATTCCTTGCTCCTGCTCCATGCCTGATCCTTGCCTCTCACTGGTTCCTGCCCTTTCACCTTGCTCTTGACCATTGTCTACCAGTCGTGGCTCTGATCCCTGGCTCTGGGTCAACCCTTAACTCTAGCTGATCCCGGCCCTGATCCTCAGCTTCGATTCCTGGTCCTGACTCTGGAGCTATCCCTTGGCTCTGGTATTTGGCAGTTTACTCTGGCTCTAATCCCTGCTTCCATTCTTTAACCTGGATACCTATTCTATCCACTAGGCCAGAGCACCTACATCCTGATTCCCAACAACTGGGGCTTTCAGAAATACAGTAAGTATTGGGAGGCTTGTGGTAAAATAGTGGGAGATAGCAACACACGCACAGAGTGACAGTAAGGGAGAAGGTGTTTGGGATAGGGATAAGGAGTGGGAGAAAGGGGTGAGGAAAGGTGAAAAGGAGAATGAGAAGGCAGAGTGAATGGTGGGGAGGAGGTGATTGTGAATGAGGGGCATGGCATGAATGGGAAGAGAGGAAGGAGTGAATGAAAAGGGAAGGCAGAATGAGAGAAGGGACAGAATAAGAGGGGGAGAAAATGGGAGAGTCAGCAAGACCTTCCAACTCATAAGGTGAAATCCTGGCTCCATTAAAGTCGATGGCAAAACTCACATTGACTTCAATAGGACCAGAATTTCAACCCTAAATTTTAAATCTGAGTATTGGCAGCTATTTGGTCCACACTCAGAAAACAAGAAAGGGAAGGAACTCCAGTTCCCCCTGCCCTGGCTGCGAGTAGCAGCAGTGGTAAGCAGGGGGTGAGGGATGCCCTAGAGCACCCACTCTGGGCAGGGAAGAACAACGGCATGCAGTAGGGGATCTCTGTAGCCTTGTTCTCCTGTCTGGATGAAACAGCAGCTGGTAAAGCTTGCAGCCTCCTTTTCTGGGGAAGGAAGCACTGTACAATAGGCACTGCTGAGCGTGCAGTTGGGTTTGTGGCTGGCTGGGAATCTTGCCCTAACATTGGTTCAACCCCACCGAAGTCAAGGGGCATAACTGCCCACTAACAAATCTCTCATCTACATTTACAATACCCGTGATAACTCATTCATTGCCTCCTAAATCAAAGCCATAGAGAATATGAAATACCTGCTCATATCTGGTGCTCTTTATTTAATCTTCAGCATTGAATCTTTACCTAGACTTCAATGTGAAGCAACACAACGCCTCCTAATGCTTACAATGTAGTCATATAACAAGAGAGCTATTGTCTGCAAATACTTTTGGCACTGGAAATCAAACATGCTCTTTTCTAAAACTTAAATGTAATAATGAGGATAGAAGGGATTTATTAGGAAATGTGCATTACATAGGGGGTCATCTGGGATTGCCACAGTTGACTTCTTCTCATTGCTTTGAGTAAATCCATATCTGGTGTGTTAAGGCTTGACTGAGTTACAGTGATGCAGAACTAGGTCAAATTACTTCTGAGCTACAATGCTTTCACTTCTGCATTTGTCAGGAAACAAACACAGGGACCTTGTCTTACTTTACTAATCTGTAGATGTTAAGGCCTGGCAAAACATATATTTTATCTTGCAGTTAATGGATAATGCCATCTAGTGGCAAACCAACAAGCATCGATATTAGGAGTCCATCTAGCTGTCCAGGCTGGGTTTGATGACCTAATTAGTGCTCTAGACAGCTGACTGTTTTAATATGGAATTATAATTGAAAAGTGAACATCAGTGCTCTTTCTCTAATTTCTCCAAAAAATCTTCAAAATGTGTGTCTATTTCAGGGACATTTTGTTCTCAAAAACAGATGTAAACTTTCATCTCACTGAACTTGTATTAATTACAAATGCAAAATGGAAATGGACCCTAGAGAATCTCACATGCATTGCTGTTTTTTATCAGATTTAATTTACAGTATTTAGTAATTATTTTTATTTATTTTTTGAAAGTGGAAGCACCTTCAAGCACACGTAAGAAAGAATACAAGAGAAATTTCCGGATATGACTTGCCAACTAGAACAAGCTGTAACTCTCCTGAGACATCTGAGAGTGAATGACCTTCATCTTTAGAGTGGGTGGGATGGGAGACTTCAAATAATAGCTTTAAAGTCAAACACATAGAGTCAAATGAAATAGGCTTGTGATGTATTGATGATACATAGATGGGGCCAGATTCTTATATTCATGCTGAATAGTTACTTACTCCATTAATAGGCTTGTTCAAATCCATAGAGAAAGGTGCTATCCATCATAAGTAAGCTATCAGAATCACCAGTGTGAGGCACAGATTACATTTTTATTAACCTTTTCTAAACCCTGATTTAGCTTTGGGTATAAACCTCTGCATGTCTGATGTAAGCTTGCTTTGATATTTAGAAGTTCATTAATTAAAAGAAATCCTCAGAGGTACACACCTCATGATGTTTTCACATTTAATTAAATAAAAATTAAGTGCAAACTAAGCCATAACAAATTAGATTCAGTGGGTGAGTGTTGGCTGCGTAAGTCACACTCTCAAGTGTTATCAGCACTTATGGTGTTGCTTGCTATTCTTTTCAGATTTTAAAAAGGATGCCAGTTTAAAGTTCTTAAAGAAATATCTTCAGAACAATATCAACAGAGCAAGATACACAGAATATAGTGCAATAAGTCTGGTAACAGCATATTTTAACGCACAACACATTAAATGATGGTAATCTGTGCAAGGGTCCAAATCTGCAATCCCTGTGCAAACCCCAAGCGAATGGGCCAAAATGGCACACATCCACAGTAAAGCTAGAAATTTTTAAAATAAGAGCCAAGCAGACTTTTGGGCCAATGCAAAAAAAAATCCTGAATGTATCTATTGCTAAGTGACAGTTATACTTCAGGCACCAATGGCCACTGCTGCATGTTGCTTCTTGGAAGGGCTCTGGCTGCCACAGGAGCAGAAGTTAGGATCTTCTCTCCCTCACCCGATATTGTAAGGATTGTAAAAATCTACAGTCTACTCCCTTAGTTTAGCCATGAGGTTCCTGGGAAGACCAAGTTTGCCATGGTCACTTCTGTCCCTAGTGGCAACCTCACTAACAGCTTCAGGGTGCCAGCTGTTAGCACATGTTTGAAAACTTCCAAGCTCATTTAGGTGCCTCTGTCCATGTTACAGAGCAGCATGTGTGCAGAGGATGGAAGACACAGCACAGTTGTGTTACTGTTCTGAATTTGCCTGGAATAAAGGATAGTCTATGGCAAAGCATGCCTCGTCCTAATCCCCGTTTTATTTAGCCCAAATAGGAGGGCCTGCATAGGGAAATGTTATAATTCAGGAAGAAAGTGCATTGTAATGAGACTGGCTCAGCCAAACCATTTATCTCCTGCATGTTCCAGTATTTATGTTTTCCTAGTTCTTGAGCATCCAGATGCTGCAAAGCCCTTTCCCATACCCCCTCCCCTTAGTTTCTTCCACTTATGCTCAGGTGACAAGCGATCTGGACCCAATTACAGCTATACTTTACTGGAGCCATTAAGAAAAAGAAGAAGACGACGTGGCGCCACCTGAACTGCAGCTGTCTCAGAAAGTGGTGGAGGAATGAGTGTCTCACAGAAGCTCTATTTCAAAACTCCAGCATTGTACATGCAGTCAAAATCTGTATGGCTGCCCTGACTGCAGCTGCACACAGTTCTAGCAAAATTTTCAGCATGCTTAGTTCAAATTCATCTTTGTGAATTGCCACCATCCTGTGTACACAAAAGATCATGCACCTGCTAGCTCCAATGTTTGTACATTATTAATTGTTGTATTGCACTACAGCATTAGAGGCCTCTCAGCTCCACTGGGCTAGGCACTGCACAGACATGTAACAAAGAGATGGTTCCTGCCCTGAAGAACTTACTGACTACATAAGTGTGCATATAAGATCATTTGAAAATGTGCCCCTCACTGACTTTTATGAAAGCAAGATCAGGCCCTTGAATCATGAGAAGGCATGGAGAGTTAATCCAGATAAATGAGGAGAAAATCATAATTAACAAGACAACAATACCAAGCTGATGGACTTAATACAAACAACAAGAGAGGAACTAAACATTTGCTTTTATATAACGTGCTGTATCTCAAGAAAAAGGGTACATTTACAGGTAAAAAATTTGCTAGAGTAAAACTGAGATGTCCTGGAAAATGAAATGATAAAGAAATCTAGGTCTCCCTGCTTCGAAATGATTTTTCTTTCCTCCTGAATTTGACCTTTTCTGAATGTAGAAGCTTTTGAAAAGAAACTATTTTTTTACTGCCACAAAAATAGTATCACTCTGATCCCACCATGGTTCGATGTTGATGCAACCTGACAAGTCATGTTACAAAGAGGGTCGTAACCATACACCCCAAAATACCCATTTACATGCGGATATACTTAATGTGGAAAGAGCCAGACATCTGAAAATAAGACTCCCTGGTCTGAGTGTCAGGCTGTACAAATTAATTACAATCAATCGAAAGGTGTTGCTTTTTTGTAAATACGCCAACAATTTCTCAAAATGCTTATTCTTTAAAATAATAATGTGAAAACAAAGTGAATCCAATGGGATTCTTGTGGATTGAGAGAAGGTACAGAACTCACAATTTGCAGGCTTATGAAATATCAGTGTCCTGTGATGATGAATATGTAGTCTAGATGGAAGAAAAGAAGTTGCCTGCTTCACCTGTCAAATTATCTCCTGCCAGTTGATTAATTTGAAGGGCACTAGCATCCGCTCTGATGAAAATCGGTCTGTATTTTAGCCACCTGTGAGAGACAGAAATTGATTTTTGTCATTACTCTTGTAATATTATTTTTATCTAACCCTAACAATTCCCTAGAATTAGTATCTACAGAATCCATTACTTTGGGAAAGCAACTAGCTTTAAAGTAAATTATTCCAAATCTGAACTGCTACCTCTAATTATGCCAGACTCTGCGACGTTACTCCTCTAGAAAACATTTGGGTACAAATGGGCAACAGGTTCTGTAAGATACCTGGGAATTCAAATCTCAAACAACTTAGAAGAGCTGTATGATTCAAATATCAAACCACAACTTCAGCAAATAAAAAAAAGATTTGGAACACAGGGGGATGTATGCAAGTTCTTGATTAGGAAGAACAGTCACACTCAAAATGAATATTTTGCCAAGGACAACTTTTTTGTTTCAAAATCTTTCTATAATCACCCCAGATACAACTCTAGCAGGAATACAAAGAATTTTTATGGAATAAGAAAACATTGAGAATGAGTACAGATACTTTACACTGACCCATTAAACCGGGGGTTCTAGCGATTTCAAATATTATAGTACTATCAAGATAGCTAGTTCAAAGCAACAGCTGATTGGAGGTGTTCTAATCCAGATAAACACTGGGTCTTTATTGAACAAGAAAATTGTGGCAGTGCAAATTTTATTAGGGTACTACAGATTAACAAAAAGTCACACTTTCCAGAAATGGTCATACTGAGTCAGATCAAAGGTTCATATAGGCCAGTACCCTGTCTTCTGAAAGTGGCCAGTGCCAGGTGCCCCAGAGGGAATGAACAGAACAGGTAATCATCAAGTGGTCGATCCCCTGTCATCCATTCCCAGCTTCTGGCAAACAGAGGCTAGAGACACCATCCCTGCCCATCCTGGCTACTACCTATTGATGGACCTATCCCCCATGAACTTATCTAGTTCTTTTCTGATTTCTATTACAGTCTTGGTCTTCATAGCATCCTCTGGCAAAGAGTTCCAAAGATTGACTATGCGTTGTGTGAATAAATACTTCCTTTTGTTTGTTTTAAACATGCTGCCTATTAATTTCATTTGGTGATCCTTAGTTCTTCTGTACTGTATGGGTTTGGGATAGAATGGATATAAATCCTTTTCATTTGCCAGTGACACTCATTTCAAATAATCCAGATTTTTTAACCCAAATCACAAAAAGGTATTTTAAATATTAGGGGAGGCATGAAATACATACAGTTGGCCAGCTGCTCTCCAAAAAAACTTTTCTAACTTATTTAGAATTCAAAACTAACTAACTTGCCCGCTCTCCCAATGGTACAGCTCCTGGTTGATTAGGAAACAAAAAAATTACAACTATTTTATATCAATAAATGTTGGCAGACAATTTTCCTATCAAAGAAATGTCCATGTGAGATACAATGGGAAAAAAATGTGGATAGACAAATTATTCTAGAGGAAAGGGCTTTGATCTGAAAAAGAGGACCTGCAACATCAGTTGATAGCACAATAAAAGGAAATTTCTGTGAGACATTGTTTCAATGGTACCTCATACCAATCAGATTAAAAAACACAGGGAGGTGAATGGGGATAAATTTTGGAGAAATTGTGGTGAAAGAGGAGATTTTATACATATATGGTGGATATGTCTTATCATTTGTGAGTATTGGGGTGTGATTTGTAACCAGATACTACAAACCATTGGATATTTATTAGCAAATGATCCGGTTGATAATCCTCCTGGGGCTTGACTTCCTAGTGGAAATGGTCACACACAAAGCAATGAAGAATTAATCTAATTTCTCATCTGCTAGAAGTGCAAGAGTACTGATAGCCTCACACTGAAGGGAAAAAAAAATCCAAAACTAGAGAAATGGTTCAAAAAAATATGGGACGTTGTTGTAATGGAAAAATCAATACATCAGTTACGTACCCAGCAAAACAGAGGACAAATAGATTCTTAGATATTTGGTTACTATTTATCCAGTACTTAAAGTACATTTGCCTGCAAACAAACAAACAAAAAAAGAGCACACCTGTCATTTTTTTTTAATATGAACGTTTTATAGACACACCTGGTTTGATAAATATGAGTGGAGCCAGTAGTTTCACTCAACTTAATAAAATCATAAGAAGCAACAAATCCTGGTGGTGGAAAGAAGTTCACTCTGTAATATGGTAACTTCCTGCTAAAGAGAGATTTGATTACCATATTACCACATAATGTTTCTTTAAACAAAATGTTTAATAAGCTCAGTGTTGCAATGATTAATATTTTATTTTTGAACATTACATGGCAATGATTTGTAAACCCGTTAAAGCTTCCAAAATAAACTTTCTAAACACCCAAACTCAAAAAAACAAAACAACCACTTCCCCATATTCATTAGACCTCTGCTCTTTTTATGATGGCACTTTGCATTTTCATTCTTCCTTCATTGGTACAGTGGCATTTATCAATATTTGGGGCTCGCATTTGCTAGGGTTTTTTGTTTCATGAAGCAGCATCAATATCACACAGAGGGAGAACGAGTGGGTAGCTGATATTAGTTGTCCTCAATTTTACAGAGGTCACTGTGTGCTATATGCCATTAGGGTCATTAGTTCAAGATGTGCATGTTATAGGTGACATTTCATATCCTGAAGAATAAGACACTTGTTCCATTTTACTCCACAATTACTTCTTTACTACATGTCCTTGTTTTGTATTTATTTTCAAAGATAAAAAAAATGCCAAAGAAAAGAGAATTTTTAGGCCTTAAGTATATTGAAGCCAACACCAATACAGGAGGAAACAAGTAACTTAATCTAGACACAGAAACCTTAATGGGTATTTTAAAGAATCTATTTTGCAGCTTCTGAGATTAATAGCTGTGTTGTAATATTCTTTTAATTTTATTTTATTTTTAAATTTGGTGAAATTTAATTTAAATTTAAATTGGTGAAAAATGCCAGACTGACAGGCCTAGGAGAAGGCAACAGAGAATCCGGTGGCACCTTTAAGACTCACAGATGTATTGGAGCATTCACCCACAAAAGCTTATGCTCCAATACATCTGTTAGTCTTAAAGGTGCCACAGGACTCTCTGTTGCTTTTTACAGATCCAGACTAACACGGCTACCCCTCTGATACTTGAGGCCTAGGAGACTGATTCAAGCAAAGGGATTTAGATACATTTCTTCAATTAATTTTAATAGAAAAGCTATAGCTAACTGCTCAAGACAGATTTGAAAATCTCAACCTCAGTCTCTTCTACTTATCCACAGAACAGGAACAGCATAAGCATCAACAGTGCAGACTTCCTCACGTTGTTCCCAATCTTGGCCCAAAGGGACTACTTCTAGGAGTAACAGGGTAAATCAGTCATCATGGCCCATTCAATCCTCGGCCTGTTTGCTGAGCATGCCAACAGGAGTAGCAATTGGTGCCAGTTGTGGTGGTGGTGATTTTTACAGGATGGTTGTCTTCCTGTCTATTGGGACTGACACTTAGTTTTTGCTTCAGACATATCTTCCAAGGTTGAATGGGCCACCATTACTTGCTGTTGTAGACTGAGGACAGAGTCATATTGATGTAAATTAGGGTTACCATATTTTAAGCCTCCAAAAGGAGGACACTCCACGGGGCCCCGCCCCGCCCCGCAACTCCGCCCCTTCTCCGAAGTCCCCGCCCCAACTCCGCCCCCTCCCCTGCTTCCCGCGAATATTTGATTCGCGGGAAGCCTGAAGCAGGTAAGGTGGGGGGAGGAGACAC